CCCAATGCTGGGTGTGCAGGATGCAGCTGATCAATGATTCTCTCTCATTATTGGTGTTTCTGTCTTTCTCTCCCACTCCTTTCCTCTCTGAAATCAATAAAAATTAAAAAAAAAAAATACACTCTCAATACAATGGAATATTATTCAGCCACAAAAAACAAGAATTAAATCTTGCCATTTGTGATAACATGGATGAATCCTGAGGGCATTATGCTAAGTTAAATAGTTCAGAGAAAAACAAATACTATATGATCCTAACCTATATGTGAAATCGAAAATAGAAACAAAAAACTGAGCTCATAGACACAGAGAACACATGTGGTGTTGCCACAGGTTGAGATGGGGTTAGGGGAGTGAAATGGGTAAGGAGATGGGGGGCGGGGTCTACAGGTATAAATTTTCAGCTACAAAATAAAAAAGTCTTGGGAATGTAACATTATAGTCTATAATACTGTAATGCATATTTGAAAGGTGCTAAAAGAGAAAAAAACTTAAAAGTTCTCAAGAAAAATACTGATTATTATGTGTGGTAACGGCTGTTAACTTGGCTTATTGTAATGATCATTTACAATATATACAAATATCGAACTTTCACCCTGCATACCAGAAACGAATATAATGTTATATGTGAATTATACCTCAATTTCACTTTGGGACTAGAAAGTCAGGTCAGAAAAGGACTCACCTTGGAATGGGTAGGAATGTCAAAGTTGACAACTACATCCACATGAGGAATGTCCAAACCTCGGCTTGCAACATCAGTTGCTAGAAGAATGGAACGAGCCTTTGCCTTAAACTTATTAAGGGATCCTAGGCGCTTGCTCTGAAATGATGAATAAAAGACATGAAAATAATTTAAGGACTCTTAGAATCTAAGACATACCAAATAGACATATTAAATACAAGAGATACATTTTTTAAAAGATATTTCCCCCCAAGTCCAGATTGGACTTCACGGACCAAAAAGAAACATGAAAGCAACAAAAATATATTTAAGACTAAGGCAAGAAAATACTAGCATGACATAAGAACTGTTTAACATAATAGGTAATTGGGCAATAATTTATTAAAACTTCTTAGAGATCAGAGAATCACTATTACCACAAGGGCTGAATAAATCAACTCAATGGCTTCCATATCAAAAACTACCTATGGAATTAACTAGAATCTCTTGTTTATCCTGAAAGGAGGAAGTAAGCATCCAGAGCAACACGCCAAGTGCATAAAATCCTGGGAAGATGCATTAATGCCATGTGTTGTTACTGTGCAAATCTATTGCTATATGGTTTATCTTCCTCCTGCCACCTGTTCACCTCCAGTGACACCGAGGAGTCTTTACCTGACTCATCTGTCCGTGGAGGGGGATGGCAGTGAATCCAAGATTTCGGAGTAGCAAAGCTGTTCTCTGAGTATTGTTACAGGTGCTGCAGAATATCATAAAGGAGTTTCCAGCCAATTCATTTAGAATATAAACCAGGTAGGTATCCTAAATTACAAACTTTATTGATTTCAGAGAGAAAGGGAGGAGAGACAGAAACATCAATGATGGGAGGGAATCATTGATTGGCTGCCTCCTGAATGTTGGACCGAGCCTGCAACCCAGACATGTGCCCCCAACCGGAATCAAACCTGTGACCCTTCAGTCCACAGGCAGACGGCTCTATCCACTAAGCCAAACCGGTTAGGGCTAAAGTATGTATTTTTAAAGATTTCCGAGAGGAAGGGAGAGGGAGAGACAGAGAGAAATATCAGTGATGAGAGAGAACCATCGATCTGCTGCCTCCTGCATGCCCCCTACTGAGGCTCGAGCCCTCAACTCGGGCACATGCCCTGACTGGGAATCAAACAATGACCTCCTGGTTCATAGGTCAATGTTCAACCACTGAGCCACACCAGCCAGGTCAGCTTTGCACTCCTTAAACAGCATTATCGTCTCTGTGAACTCTGAATTTCATACAGCCTGAGCCAAGCACAAGGAGATCTGTACTCAGCAATCAGAAAAAGTCCTCACATCAAGGCACAACACAGGGTCCTTTGACTACAAAAAAAGCCACATAATAAGCACACAAAAGAAAAACGACCTGAAGGATGGGGTTGGGAAGGGATTATATCATAATTTCGTTACTGTGGTTTACTTAGTATGTTGTGAATTCGTGGAATGTTTGACTTTATCAGTGATAAACAGAACCACAGCCGGCTCTCTAAAGCAAACAGAAAGAACTCCAATCTGTAGCACAGCTCTTAACTAATCGAGAGTTGACTCATTTTCAGATGCTTTGGAAAGGAAGGAGAGGGAACACTTCACCTTGAATTTAGAGGGAATAAAAATATAATATTGCTGCAATTTCTCAACCGTCTGGTATTTAGAGGAAACAGCACATTTCACAGGATCCTTCAGTGCTGCTCGCTGAAGTTTTTGTACCTAAAAAAAAACACAAATAGTTTTACTATTGTTATTGTTGTTTGCATTAATCAATTCTTATAAGGAAGAAATAAGAAGTCCTAGAAAATTTCACCTTCTTGGTCATGGTAGCAGAGAAGAGAAAAGTTTTCCGATCTCGGGGAATCACTTTGAGAATCTTGTCAACCTAAGGCACAAAGAGGAAAGGGTATCAATACAATATTTTTTAAAAATAAATTTCTTTATTGATTTCAGAGAAGGAGAGGGATAGAGAGATAGAAATATCAATGATGAGAGAGAATCATCGATCAGCTGCCTCCTGCACGCCCCCCACTGGGATTGAGCCTGAAACCCTGGCATGTGCCCTTGGCCAGAGTCAAACCAGGACCCTTCAGTCTGCAGGCCAACACTGTATCCACTGAGCCAAACCGGCTAGGGTTCAATACAATATTTAGACTAGACATCTGCAAATATTCTTTGTGAAGGAGACAGAAAATAGAATAACAAACTAAATACAACACTGTGGGGATTTGGGGACTCAAAAATCCAATTCAATCCAGCTAAAATTTACAAAATATTTACTATTTGATACCATACCAAATGCTATAAACAAAACAATGTGATTCAGTGAAAAAGAACAATTTAAATTAGTACATAAGAACTAATCTAAGAGAAAAGTCAATAGGTATTAATCAAGTACATAAGCTATGATGAGTAGGTCATCAAAAAAAAAAGCACAGATATTTCAAAGTGTGTGAAAAAGGTCTATATCAGGGGTCCTCAAACTTTTTAAACAGGGGGCCAGTTCACTGTCCCTCAGGCTGCTGGCGGGCCGGACTACAGTCTGAAAAAAAAACTATGAACAAATTCCTATGCACACAGCGGTGGCAAAAACACCCGACGGGCCGGATAAATGTTTTCGGCGGGCCGCATGTGGCCCGCGGGCTGTAGTTTGAGGACTCCTGGTCTATATCAAATAAAATGGAAAAAGAAAATCTGGTTTTGATATTCCTCATCTCTGAAATCGGAGTCATCTATACTCTAAAGAGGATGCTGAGGCACTAACAATGGGAAGAGAACCACGAATGAAAAAGGCAGATGTTTAAATCAGCTGATAATGATGCAGCTCTCCCCACACAGCAGGTGTGCAATGAATCAAATTTTGAAACAGGGCACTTGAGATGCTCTAAGAGGAAGAAAGAAATTGGGAGCTCACCTCTGTCTCAAAATCCATATTCAGTATTCGGTCTGCTTCATCCATGACCAAGTATTTGAGAGCTCTTAAGTTGAAACCTTTTGTATTTTCCAAGTGGTCAATCAGTCGACCAGGAGTTGCTACCAAAGAAAGGTTGAGGAGAAAGAGCAATGTTTAAGAACAAGGACGAAAAGGAAGTTACTAAGCCCCTCCTCCACCACCACCCCCCTCAATTTCAGAAATGAAAAATTAAATAGGTTTACAAAAACCTGTTCTTCAAAGTCTTTCTGTTAGAGTAAGCAGGCACAGAGCAGCAACGTATGGAATGATACCAGGGAGGGGAAAGTTCCAGGTGCCAACTACTATAGGCTGGCACCTTGCCCTGGGTGACCCTTCCTCCCCTAGCATGTCATTGGTCATTGGTTTAGACCTCCTTAGAGGAGGAACAAGAGGCTGGAGAATAGCCTCCTATTACTCCCGTACAAAAACAGGAGACAAGAATAGGAAAGGCCCTGATAGGTTAGCTTAAAGAAGGAGCTAAGCCCAGCCAGTGTGGCTCAGTGGTTGAGCATCAACCTATGAACCAGGAGGTCATGGTTCGATTTCTGGTTCAATTCTGGTCAGGGCACATGCCCAGGTTGAGGGCTGGATCCCCAGTAGGGGGTGTGCGGGAGGCGGCCGATAGATGATTCTTGTCTTTGATGTTTCGATCTCTCCCTCTTCCTTCCTCTCTGAAATCAATAAATATATTTTTAAAAAAGAGCCTTGACAATACCCCAGGGTAGCTCTCTGAGCAGCCCATTCAACTCTTCCTTTTGAGTATACTTTTGCTTTGCTTGCTAAATAAACTGCCTCCTGAGCTAGTTCTTGGCTGAATTCTTTCCTAGCCAAACTCAAAAACTGAGGTCCACATTCGCTGCTAACATTTCCACACAAGTAAGTAACTCCCAACATTGGTAGATTTTCTCCAATTCATCATTGCCAGTATCTTTTACCTTTGGCAACTACTCACCTATTACTACATGTGGTTTTTTTGCCAGGGCCAGAGACTGGGACATTGAATCAATTCCACCTACAATCACGGCTACAGGAAGAAAAAAAAAAAAAAAGAATAAACATAGGAAAAAGACCCTTAATTTTTTCCATAGTTCACTGATAACCTTTTAAAGCCAATGCTAGATTTCTACTTAAATTTACAACTTTACCCAAAGCTAAAATACCAAATCAGCTTTCTGGTCAATAAACTTATGCTAATTATACTTCCTTCCATTCTCCTTTCACACTCATTCTCAACTAGTGAAGGAGCCCTAAGACTCCTTTCCTCTCAGAACTTACCAGTCTGTACTCCAATAGAAGATCCTAGGGCTTCAAACTGCTCTGAAATCTGAAAGGCCAGCTCTCGGGTGGGGGTGAGAACTAAAGCAAACAAACGCTGGGGCGTCTCCAGCAGCGCATTCAGAATGGGCAAAGCAAAGGCCCCTGTTTTTCCAGAGCCGGTTTCCGCCAGCCCAATGATATCACGACCTAGGGAGTGGAAAAAAAGAAAACATCTCGCAGCAAAGACATTTTCTCTGCATTTTTCCACTTTCTCTACAATGACACAATGCTGGGCACAAAGTAAACACTGAATAAATATTTGAGGAACTGGGGGCAGAAGAAGGTTGAATAGACAGAAGACATGAGCTCTAGGTGAGCTCAAAATCCAGGGACGAGATACACAAATACAGTACAGTGTGATAAGGGCTTTAATATAAGCCCCTGCAAAATATAGTAAGAACACCAAGGAAGGAGTAACTTACTGCCCTAAAGAGTCAGGAGAAGCTAAAAGAGGTGATGACTAAATTAAATCTGGAAGTACGCACAGAAGGAAAGGAAGGGCATTCCCATAGGATGGATGACAAGAGGCTGAAAGCTTTAAAAAACATAGCAGACAGAGTAGGGAGAGTGAGCTGTGCAATGTGCTGGAGCAGACATCTTAGGGGGAAAGGGGAGAAGAATGAGTTTAGAAAGGAAACTCATAAGCCCTGCTAAAGAGTTTTGTATCTTCCGATAAGTGAGACGATCTGAAACGGGGAATATCATGACCGATGTTATTCATTAGGCCTGCCTGATGGCACAGGGAGGGGTCAAGGGGCTAAAGATCCAGGTCCCTTCTTCTGA